AATCTTCCTTGAACTAAGTCGTCACCTTAAGTGAATTTATACCTTCGTGAAGGTATTTAGACTTGCTAAGTAGAACATACTCTCACTCTACTCAATGCGAACTTTGCCGTTAAAAGGGGAGTCAAGTTTTATGGCTTAACTTGCGATTTTAGGGATAATTAGGAAGCAAAAATTGTTGTCGAATTCATTTGTTGGATTCTTGTGTCGAGTCCTTATTCAGTTCCTAAAGTGACGAAATAAAGTATATGGATTTTATTTAAATTCAAAGTTTGCATTGACAATAATTCTCTCTTTTATGCATTGTTCGGTCATTAGATGTTTCTTTCTTCCTTAAAAAACTTTCATGTAAAATAAGATGGGTACTATTATCTAACCTCTGTCACTCGTCTTTTTGTGGGCTCGCAACTCTTCTTAAAATATTATTGGTGGCTTTGTAGCTACACCAATAGGATTTTTTTCTTGAGAATTTTTGCTGATCTAGTAGTCTTAATAGTAAGCTCAACTTTATGCTAGGATCACTCAAATCTTGAGCACAAGTAAGCACACCTTTTTCTATTTTCACTTAACATTTTTTTTAGGGAATGAAGTTTTCTAATATTGGTTGAGTCTAACTTAAAGTTGGTCAATTTTAAGTTTTATTGCTTAAATAAAAAACTTAAAACACATTTTCTTTCTATACTTGTTTCCTGAGTATTCGTCTGTTTAACGAATTTTGGATTCAATATTTTAAAGATAAAAGATGATAGTAAAGATTTTTTAAGGATAAAAAAACTTAATGTTGTCATCACTCTACGTCCTTAAAATTTCTTTTCAAGTCTAAATTTGTAGTCAGTATGTTTTAGGACAAACTTGTTCTTTATGTTGTGATGGCCCTTCCATGTGGACTCCAATTTGTTGAGTGATGAGTTCGAGTTGTGGCATCTGCTTTCTTTAAAACTAAGTTGCCAAGCTTAGAAGTCATCTTTTTGATCTATGAGTTATAATATTTGGATACTTGCATCTTGGCCTTCTCCCACTTCATTAGTGATTGAATGCACAACTTCTCCAACAAATCTACTACTGTTTATATTCCTTTTATCATTAGCAATTCACCACTAGTTCAGTTTTCCCTCTTCAAAATTGGAGGCAGCGGCCATCATTTGATTGTGCAGATTGAACACTACCGAATATTTTGCTTTATCTTCATGAGATAAGTTGAATGCCATATGTTTGGTAGAAGTGGAAGGAGTAGTTTAGAACTCCCAAAGAAATGATTTTAGTAGTTTTGCCCATTTACTTTTTGTTTCTTTTTTCTTACGTAACAAGTTGAAAATGAGCTTGTTCATTTTTACTTGACTATTGAATTCATTGACTTTGACATAACCCCTTTATCTTTTTGTCAGAGAATTGTAGAATATTATTAATAATGATTATCTTTATAAGTTCGTATCTATAGATGATGTCAATCCAAATAAAGCTTTGCATGATATTGACAATAAAATTTGCAAGCACCTTGAAAGGCTTGTCTTTGGTTTACGATTGCTTTGTTTTTGTGGGTGTGGTATCAATTGAAAAGTATGTCTTTAGCTTTTGATTGCTTTGTTTGCTATGGTGGCACAATACACTTCTGTTTGAAGTTGTCAATGTAGCTATTTGGTCATGTGGCCTGGTAGAATACCCGTGTTTGCATCGTGACAAATTATATAATTTATATAATATTTGTGAGTCATAGTCTTCTTCACTTGGCTAGAGACAAGATGTTTTATAGTGAATAAACATATTGATGTCCAAGACCATTACATTATCAAGAAGGTTAAAGATGGCATTCTATTGGTTTGGAAGATTTGCATAAGGCGTAATCTTGTTGACATGCTTGATAAGGTAATCTTTATTCTCAAGTTTAGTTATTGACTGAACTTGATTCGTGTGCATAGCTACTGTGTCCCTCAAGGCAAGGAAAAAGTTTTGGTGCTTTTAGCGGATTCAGGGTCTATTTGGCACAACGTTGGTGCTGTAGTACACATCCCTTCACGTTTTAACACTGGTTGCGGTACTGTTCAAGACGTCATTTCGGAAACCGTGATCTCAAATTTGGGCATTTTGCGAACTCTTTTCTCTCTTTACGGTCCGCTGTTTTGAGATCTTCTCCCTTCTACTCTCTTAACACTACCTCTGATCTCTCTTCGATCCCCTTGGTTTCGATTTGCCTTCTCATTTTCATGTTTTATCATCTGAAGGTATTCGATCCTCTTGGTTTCAAGGTTTTCTCCCTTAACTATCATCTTATGTTGTGAGTTTTTTTTATGGTATTTTTATTTTTTCGGGTGCTTCTATGGTTTTTGTAAAACTTTTGGGTTTTTCTATGGTTTTTGTAAAGTATTTTGGATACTTCTATTATTCTATGGTTGTGTTATTATCTGCTCATGTTCATTGTGGTCTTCACATGTCTTTGAAGATCAATGAATTGATCGGTTGTTATTGTGTTTTCTAGGGATGTGGGTGTTATTTTGTTACGTTCTATCTTCTTTCTACGTTGGTTGCTATTTTTGCAAGGGATGTGAGGTTTTTTCCGGTGCTTCTTTTTCTGTCGATTGTTGTTTTTTCTAGATATGAATATACATATAATCAAGGTGATTGGTTCGAGCAACATGATAAAGAAATGTGCTGATGCTTCAGAAAATCTTGACCATAGTTTTTAATTTGAATTTTGTTTCTTTAGTAAAGAAGATTGGAGCCTATTGCTCGATTTTTCTTTATGGGAGTAAATCACCGCTTTGTTCTTTCTATTTGTCTTAATCTGTAGTTTATAGGAGTAAATGAGTCATTGTTTATTATTTCTTTATGCTCTAAAGGTTCTTAATATGCTGTTGGTAGGCATCTTATAATGCTGGCAAGTTATTTGGAGAGTGAATTTTAGCTGATCTGCAACTTGAGTTTGCTGTATTTGAATATTACTTAAGAATTTAGGACATCTCATTTCTATTTGTCTACACTTGTTGTGCATTGATGGATGTCACGAATGGATTGGTTGATCAACATGATTCACACTTTCTTTTTAGGGTTATAAGCATTCCATCATTGGAGTTGAGTGTCTAGAAGTTTTTTGTATTACTCTCAAAAAGTGACTTGCAAAACACAGGCAAGCTATCATTGAAGTATTTATAGTGTTCTCCAATGACCCTATCTTCATTGGCTTATCATGTAGATTTTGAGACATAAAATGGAAGTACGTAGCTTCGCATGCATAGTAGATGGAAATGGAATTTTGGTGCCTACTTGGTTTCATGTAAATTAATATAATTTGATAGCTTGAGCTTGCCTTTATCTTGCTAACATTAATGCTGGTCTGGAACTTGGGAAAGAAAAATACTAAGGGGACATTTACATACACATAACCCAATATTTTTTTGGGATGTTAGCCATGTTTATAATTATTTCAGCAATCTCTGTAAAGTGTTCATCAACGTGAGTTTGGTAGATTTTTTAGCTCTCGACTCCTAGCCCTCATTTTTTCCTTTTAATTTTTCTAAAAAAATACGAGTTTAAGGACTTCTAAAAAAATACGTGTTCATCAACATGAGTTGTGTATTGTAATTGTGCTTTGCAATGCTGTGATTTACATCACAACAAGAAGCTTGCTATGAGAGCAGTTTTTAGAGGTGCCTCAAAAATAGATCAATTGATAATTGAAACATTTTTAGATGGGTTGACGACTTCGAGGAGTCCACTTCAGATAACGACCATATTAGGAGAGTATCTTTGGAAAGAAAGTTTTCCAATAGATTTGATCGTTTGGACATTAAAGGCAACATTATGGTAACATCACTTGTTGTTATTATAATTTTAATTTTTGTGTTAATTGATGCTAAGTGATGTATAACTTTTTATGTAATATTAGACTTCTTATTTTATGAGAATTTATGGTATTCATTTTTATTGTTTTGTTTGATTTAATTATGGAACAGTAAAGTTACAACTACCACATGTATATTACATTTTTTACTTCAGAAACAACCGTCGTACAACTGAACTATCCAAAGAGACATACTACTTCACCAACATTAGCTTTCTCATAGCAGCTTTTTTCTACAACTTCTTCAAACAACAGCGGTTGTCCAAAACATACCCTCAATGCTTCTTCAAACTGCTGCAATTGCCCAAAACATACCCTTAATTATCCCTTGTTTTCTTATGATATAAAGGTTATGATAGGAATTTTTGGGTATTTATATCAATTATGAAACTCAGTTATGTAAATCTCCAAAAGCCTTGATATTTTCTTCCCTAAATATGCTAAATTGGGTGGCTCCTTGGCAGCACGCACAATAAGACTTAATGCGAACAGTAGGTGAAGGAGTTTTCTATGCCTTTTGTTTTCTCTCCTTCTCACAGGGCAAGACTAAAAATGGAAAGGAGGATATTGTAAGGAGTGTTTTTGAGGAAGATCTTTTTTTTGTGTTCTTGGAGATTTGGTCTGAGGAATTCATCTCTCTTTTTGGCTCTTTTTGAGAAAAACTGCTCTAAGATTTTGGAGCGTTCTTCTGTCTTTTGTTTAATTTTTAAAGAAGAAAATTTGATAAATTTACTACTTGATGCACTTCATTTATTTGATAATAGAATTATATATGCTATGTCGTCTCTTGATGTGGATATTTTTAATCGAATGACATAAATCATTGTGTTTTTATCTCAATTTATTTTGTTGTTTCATATCATATGTACATGGTAGGTGCTAGTTTTCTTTTTCCTAGATTAACAATTTTTGAAAATTTTAATGCTCTCAATATTAGTAATTTGGCCACTTTTGCCATTGTTACAAGAATAATTAATACTCAACACATGCAAATTTACAACGAATAGACCTCCTTTGAATCTGTTTTCTTATTCAACTTAATGGTTTTTTCCTCAAAACAATTTCACTTTCTTCTTGCTCTTTTTAATCACTGAATTTTCTTTCAAACTTTTTTTCTCGACCATTTTCTAATGCTTTCTGTTGGTTGATCACATGTTATTTTCTTTAGAAAATGAACCTGATGTGGAGGAAGATGAACAACTTGCAAGGGCCGTGCAAGAAAGCTTAAATTTTGACTCAGCCCAAGAAAATAAAGATTCACCTCCTCGGCATAATGGACGCATTTATCAACCACCTTTTTTTTTCCCAGCAAGGTCCAGGTATTGTCCGGAGAGCAAATTCTGACGTGCGTCACTTCAAGAATTATTAATTTCTTATCTTGTAAAATTGGTTATTCAAGTATGTCAGAAATACTAATTTTTTCTATGATTTATAATCAGATTATTTATGCTTTTTTGAATTAATTTTACATCATGAATATGCTAGATTTAACTTATGGCATCAAGTCTACATTAAAGGCTATTATATGGCTTATAAAATATATTATTCTGTTTTGTTTGTGATTCATTGCAAGGGTTGACATGGAGTCTATAAAAATGAAGTCTGATAAATGTGCATATACTATTTTGGAAATAAAATTCCATTTAGATGAGGGCATCAGAAGATAATTATTTTAAATTTATGGTTGAACCTTTGGAACTGAAATACATTTTGTGAAATGGCCAAAATAGTTGCTAAAAGTTGAGACAACATCCTTTTGAAATTTATGGATTGACTAAAAAAATTATGCATGAGTTTCTTATGTCAAAATAGTCCCTAAGCTCTACGTTTCGACATACATATGTAGTCATTCCTATATGTCATATTCTTTGCATTTTTTACATCATTTATTTATTTATAATAGTAAATTTTCTTATTGTATTGCATGAGGTAGAATATGTACATGGAATAAGGGGAAATTACTTTTAGACAATTTCTAATAATGATCTTGTATTAATTACATTATCAAATGCAAAAAAAAAGGGCATAGTAATCAATGTATTAAATTTTAAAAAATAAACTTTATTGATATACAATATAAATATAATTATACCGTCAACTTATAGCAAACTCTTAGGCAATTAATTCTTAAACTTTAATTTTTACTTATTCTCAATCCACTCCGTAGTTCATTACCTATATGTCCTATTGTATACAATAATATGAAAATCATGTATACTAGTTCATTTTCTTTCCTTCCTTCTAATCTTAAAACTCCTAAAATAAAATAAAATAAAATAAACTCCAAAAATTTTAGCACATAACATAATCTAAATATATTTCTTACAGTTTTTCTTCTTGCAGGTCATAATACCACTTTTTTCCCATCTTATTTTATTTTCATTTGCATCAAACTGAGCCAAAATATTTTTAATAGCTCTTTTTTGTGTAAGACTTTGAAAAAATTTATAATCAAGAAAATAATTAAAATTTAAGGTAAATTCCATCAAGAAACAAAAGTAATCTTAGTAGTTGACTTTGCACAACATACACCTTTGGCTTAATTTTTTATGTGAGCATACCCTAGCATATGTGCTTTACATTACTTTATGCTGCCCTTAGAATATACACATCTATGTGTGTTTATGTTCCCTTCCCTTGACATGATGCTACTTGCGCATGTAGTTCCGTTATTTGGCATAAAAACTCCATCAACAATTTAGGTTTTCATCTAGCGCTTATCCAACTCTTCATTTTGTGCATGCTTGAGATTTCCCACGATTCTCTATCATTGTAGGTTAGAGCTCAAATATCCTTTTCTTGAACGACACATTGGTATCGGGCAGCTAGTGGTGTTTTCTCTTTAATTTTATCGACTCATGGCATCGGCGTCTTTCTCTTTCAATCCCTCCAAAAATTAGGTTGGCACTCATTTTGCCATCATCTTTAGTTTCATCGCCAGTTATGGATTACTGCCATTCTCTTGCATTTGTTGTACTTGTTTTTTTTCATTTGGTCTCAAATGGCAGATCTTTTTTCATCTCAATTTCTTTATTTTCTCATTATACACTAGCTTTTTATCTGATCCCTCCTCTCGCACTAATTTCTCCTAGGGTTTTTGTTGACATCCCAATGAAGCCCTTACCTACTACACAACTTTGCACCTATTTGCTAATGTAATTAATGATTTGATTGTTTGTTGACTTTTAGTTTTCATCCAACTGTTGTCTACTTTTTTTTTTAACTAAGGTTTAGCAAAACTCCAACAAAAACTAGCTTCATCTTATCAAGGTAAGCATGCTATTCTCTTCACAAATGAAAAAAAATCTATGCTCGCTAGGCTGCTCACACTCTCAATTATTGTTAAATTTTTTTTGGGGTTATCCTAATGTGGTGATAGCTATCAAATTAAAATTAATGTTTGATTTTCATATGATGGTTAATTTTTCAACTCATCTACTCAACATATCATTGTATTACATTCCTTTGGGCAAATTAAATCAAAATCTTCTCATGACACTAATATTATATTAGGCTTCCCGATGTTCTTGCAACAATGATTCTCCTATTTTGATTACTCTGTGGAACCCATTATCAACATGTTTGGATTTTATTTTTTAAGTTCTTATTTTCATTACTTCAGCTAGTATATCTTATTCTCATTGGCTTTTATTTTTTAGAATTTTTATATGTGGGTGTTGCAACAACCCATTTGTCTTTGTATTTTGTGGCTAAAGTTTTCGTTGAACTGGATGCTAAATTTTCATTTTAATAAAGAGGCGTGGATTGGGTTCTTATCATCTGGGTATCGGGGGAAGGTTAAACTCAAAAATATCCTATTATATTGTTTCTCTTGTCATATTTTTGAGTATAAATTCTCAAACTGTTTCAAAACTTGTTCCTAGTTGAGGAATTCTAGGTTTCAAGCACATAATCTTCCACGAAAAGCTCATATTGAACCTCTTAAGAAATTTATGGGGATTTAAGGGAAGATCCTTCTTCATTAGTGTAGGTCTATTCTCAAAGTTTACATCCAAATTTAAACTCTCTTATGGTGATGGTTGTTGATTTTCTTGTCCTTACTAGCCTCTTTGTGTTGATCACTCATATCTATTGATACTATCGCTAAAACATTCCTCAACTTCTTAGCACACAATGCCTTCATCCTATTTGTGAATAGAATTGTGAGGATATATCTCAAAAACTATATGATTTAAATTGGAGCATTAGAGTATCAATTCTTTGGTGGATGAGAGATTTCATATTTTTTATATTAGAAGAGGCAAAAAATCCGAGATTCATTAGGCTCTAGTTAGACAACTCAAATGAATAATTTTATGATTTTTATGAAGCATAGGATGCTATCATTGGTCTTTTGTTACTTTTTCTATGCTATTTTATTTTTCCCTTTTCTCTTGGAATTCGTGATGATTTTCTTTGTTGTACTCACATCATTATTGTATAAATATATTTTGCATTATGAAAAACACATTCTATTTTGTCAATATTGTCTACTTGCTTGTACTCTCTTCTACTTAATGATGTTAAATTCCGCTCATGATCGCTCACTTACTCGCTCTTATGCCTTGCACTTGTCTCGCCCCAAACCACCCCCCCCCTCTCTTTGCTACCCTTGCTCTCTATCCTTGACTCCCACTCCCTCAATCTTGTTTTTTGTCTGTCACCTCTTTCATGCTTGTTCCAACTCCTGTTCCTATTTATTTATTGAGGTGGGATTGATGAAACATTGATTCACTTGAAACATTACTAGCAAGTTCTTTTTTTATTTTGTTTGAATAAAAATCAATTTTACAATATTTGCCATCATCCCCCACTTCATCAAAGGAACCGTCATCCCCCACTTCATCAAAGGAAATAATTTCTATAATGTCAAGTATCGACCAGGAGCTCACTCGAGTATGTGGGTCGTGCTTGCAAGTCACTCCCTATTGAAGTTTGCACAATCATAGTAGAAATAAGCTAGAAACACGGGCTATGATACCCCTTTTTAGGAGGATTGTGCATTGGCAGCCTCAGTTGAGCCCAATAAACTATCGATTGGACACCCATCAATTTAAAAGCTTCAAGGCATAATGGTTGCAAGTGATATATTAGGAACTCAACTCATATATTTACTTTTAGCGTAAGGATAAGAATTTATTTAAAAATTTGTTGCTAAATTTGTAGAAATATGAGAAAACCTTATGGGAAATATGAGAATATCATGGAGAATTTGATTGAGAAAACTTAGGAAATCTCTTGATTAGTTTATTCCATTAATATTCTATATTACTCTATTTTTTAGCATTATTTCCTTAATTTATTTAGATATATTTGGTAAGTTTGTAAATTTGGATGTATTATTTTTCTTATATATATGCACCGTACATGTGAATAATAAAATAAAGATTTGTTCCTCTCCCAAATCAGTTTTGTACATGGTATCAGAGCCTTAGATCAAATCTTAGCCACTGAATATCTTCCTCTCAAACGTCCTTTCCTAGAGCCGGACCTCTCCTTTCTGCCAGCCAGAACCGTAAATGTGCTAGCTGGACCTCCCCCTCCTTCCTGCTAGCCGGACTTCCTTACTACCAGCCAAATCTCCTTTCCCAGTTGGATCTCCTTCCAACTAGATCTCTTTTCGGCAGTCAACTTCGCTAGCCGGACCTCTTTCTACTGGTTCAGTCTCCTTCCTGCAATCAGCTGGAACTTCCTTTCTCCGCTCCTGTTTAATAGAAATTCTCCCGTAGCAGGCCCCTCCGGAATTGTCCCTACAACCTGAAACATCTTTGTTGCAAACCCTCCTCCGGAATTCTTCTTGCAGCCTAAAAATTCCTTGCTGCAGCCCCCTCCTCCTCTACCTAAATCTTCCTTCAGCAGCAGCAAGCAACAACAATTAGAGCAACAACAACATGCAGCAGCAGGAGCAACATCAGAAACAACAACCTGTCTTGCAACAACAACCTAAACACCTGTTGTTTTTGTTCTTCCTTTCTTACATCAACCTTCCATCTACCTGCAAAAATTGAAGCGACTTCAACTATCACTGCTGTAGTCAACTGGGAGTAGCCCTAAACACACTTAGTTGATGATCAAGTATGGGATGAAGAATTTAATATCTACTCCTAAGGTAAAATCTATTTTAGAGGTCAAAGATTTTGTTCAGATGACTTTTGAACTTTCTAATTGTATCACAAATCATAAACTCATTGTTCATCACTATGTTCAATGGTCTCAATCTATGCATTTGTGGTAAAGGGAAAGGTGAATATCTTGCAGGAGAAGACAGTTTCTGAGATCACTGACCTCAACTATTGCACATGAAAAATTTAGATCATAT